CGCTCTGTCACCCAGGCTGGAGTGCAGTGGTGTGATCTCGGCTCACTGCAAGCTCCGCCTCCCGGGTTCCCGCCATTCTCCTGCCTCAGTCTCCCGAGTAGCTGGGACTACATGTGCCCGCCGCCACGCCCAGCTAATTTTTTGTATTTTTCGTAGAGACGGGGTTTCACTGTGTTAGCCAGGATGGTCTCGATCTCCTGACCTTGTGATCTGCCCGCCTTGGCCTCCCAAAGTGCTGGGATTACAGGCGTGAGCCACCGCGCCCCGCCCAAATTTTATTTTTAAATAGCCACGCCTGAATGAGAGAGACATATTTCTTCATATGGATCCAGATGCAGATGGAATTTATTGAGAACAATTCTTTCAAGTGTGTGCTTCTGAAACCACAGTGGCTGTTTCTTATTATGTATTATTTCTATCAATAGATAGAGTACAAGTACGGTTAGCAGGGAATGCAATATCTCATAGTAGAAAGGGGTCCTCCTGCTGACAACACAGTTTATTTTCTGAGCAGTTCACCAGGCCCTTACCCCTCCTAGTCAAATTTTATGGGCCCAGGGATTTATCATGTACTTAGACCCATCTCTCACCCACCAGATGTGAACACCATGAGGACAAGGGCACTGTCTCCTACCCCATGCTGGGAAGATCCTTTATATATCCTCAGTGGTAAGTAGCCCAGGGCAGGCCCCAGATGAGCAGCCAATGTCCATTGCCATTCCCCAGCCCAGAGGGTGGGGGTAGAGATGGGTAAACAGGAGATGAAGGAAGTGGAATTACACAGCCCTTTTCCCACGCTACCCCTCCACCTTGGGCTGGGCCCCGCCCCTACTAAGTAGAGGTCAGGAACTTGCCCTACTTTCACTGAGACTGTCCCCACCCATGGGCCTCCACACCCTTCCCCTGGGGTGGGCAGAAGGAGTGAGCTTCGCCTTCTCCAGCTCAGAAGTGGCCCTGGGAGCTTCCCCTCGGCCCCAGGGTCTATCGCCAGCCCTGACCTGGCCACTTCCTCTTCCTGCTCTGGCAGTGGGCAGGGGGATTTGCACTGTGGGCAGAGAAGCACTGCCTACTGCCCCGGGGGCTTCCCATGGGCAGCTCTGGGAACCAGAGGGGAAGGGTAAGGCCCAGACCCCTGGCTCTGCTCTCCTGGCCCTTGCCCAAGCCCTACCATGAGCACATGTATCATTATCTCCCCAAAACCAGCCTCCCAGGGACCCAGGCAGGCCTGCATCCCTCCCCTCAGCTCTCAGCAGGGGCCAAAGATGGAAGAGCTTTCAGAGGCATCTTTGTCCAGGAGCTAGCAAGCCTGATGTGTGACCTGAGGCCAGTCCCTTGTCCTCTCCAAGACTGCTTCCTCATCTGCCCAATGCAGACATCACCAGTCCCAGTGCTGGTAGAATTCAGTTCACAGTGGAAGGGAGAGGTTCAACATCCAAATGTAGCACTGCCTGGGGCCTGGGCTCCCCCACTGTCGTGGGAAACTTGTAATGGCAAGTGAGGGTGGAAGTCAGGAGGCAGGCAGTACCTCCAAGTCACAGGGAAGTGCTACAGGGGGATGGGTTCCAGGACCCCGACATATACCAAAATCCATGCATACTCAAGTCCCGCACTCGGCCCTGTGGAACTCGTGTCTGCAGTGGGACAACCACAGCGGCCTGCAGCAGAATCCTGGGACTGGCAGGGGCAGGAGATAGCAAGGTCCTCAGCTGGATGGGGGAGCCAGCAGCCCTCCTGCTCCAGGAACTACAAACAGTAACCCCATCTCTACTTCTCCCATTCCTGGGCTGAGTGAGAGGAAATGAGAGTGTGCCCAGCGATGTGGCTCTACCCAGCACTGGGAGAATTCCAGACTCTGTATGCAGCAAGTGGTCAATTAATACTCTGGAGAGAGCCAGTTAATTAAGGAGGTCAGGGTATGGCCACAGAGGCTATCTTCAGTCCAGTGATTTCTCTACCCCTTCCTCCCTCCCTCTCAGGCCAGAAGAAATTAACATACAGCACAAAAGAATAAGATCAGGCTTCAGGAACAACAGCCAGACGGGGCTGGAAAACGCTGACAAGATCACGGAGTTCCTTTGGGAAAGGTTGGCCCACGCCTTGAACCTCCCTCGGTTTCCCCCTCAGTCTGTTCAGCTCCTGGCCAGCTCTCTTCTCCTCTCACCTTGGAGGGTCTCCCACCACCTTGCAGAACATCAACACCCACCAAATTCCCTTGCCTCTGTCCAAGGTCTCCACCCAGCTCATGCGGGCAAAATTTCAAATTCCAAAATAAAAACCCTCTGATAACGAGTCCCAGCCGGAAAGACTGATGCACTTTCCTATTGTTAAAGTATTTTTAGTCACAGGCTCTGGATTCGTTTAGAGACTCACGTTCAGAAAGGGGAAAAAATTTTTTTGAGAACTGGGAAGGAGAGCACAGGAGCCTCCCACGTAAGGAGCTGCTGCCTGTTCCATGCTGGGCCAGAGTCCCTGGCCCAGGTCCCGGAGCGTGTTTGTGGCAAGCTGGTTGGCAGACTTGCCAGACCTCTCTCCAGCTCTGCTTCTCAGGCACCCAAAGCAGCTGGGAGGCCCGGCAAGGGGGACAGGCCAGGGGCTGAGGGCTCAGCAGGGCACCAAGCCCCTGGCCCAGCCATTCAGTCCCAACTAGTGGGGGCTCAGGGGCCCCCACTCAGAAGCCAATCCTGAGATACCCCAATGGACACCAAACTTGCCACAGTGACCAGTGCCTCATCCAGATGGGGCGGACAGGAGAGGAAGACGGACCCTGTGGGGAAGCTCTGAGGAAGGAGCTAGACCGCATCACCTGTCTCTGTCCACCTCTCCCAGTTCTCAGTCACAGCGTTCACAAGTCCAACTACCGTCATCCAGCTGTGGTCAAGCTGCACACTCATGCCTCCAACTGTTGGCCACCCTTGCTTCCTCCCTGCAGCCCAAGGCCAAAGGGTTTGGCATGACAGTCGCAATGGGAAAAAATCCAAACAGCCCAGCTCCCATTCCTCAATGTCCCCGTCCCAAGACTCACCAGCTTCCTCCTCACGATCTGCTTTGACCCTGGACAAAGGTCCTGGACAACTGCACGAAGGGAGAATCCCAAGATTGGTTGGGGGCTCTTTCTGGCAGCCTCAGGGAGCCCTGTGGGGAGAGACGTGCTGCCCAGCCAGCCTATCCTCGCAGCCGAGGCCGGGCAGCAGCTGAGCAGGCTCTGGATGTGGTGCTGCCTCCAAGCCGGCGTGTCCTCCTCTGTTTATATAGCAGAAACCAGAGCCGGCCTCTGGGGATGGGGGGAGCCACTTTGGGCCCTCTTGGCTGGGCCTGACTTTGGCCCAGGTCAGCAAGAGCCCAAAATAGTCAGCTGACGGGAGCCCCGGCATGAGCGTGACCCTGGGCCCGTGCCCGGGCCTGGCAGACAGGTGCCCACGTCACAAGACCAGCAGCTCTAGCACTCATGGGGCCCCGGTTGGCAGCCCCTCAGGGTGGCCTTGGCAGTGTATCTGGCATGGGAGTTCCACCCAATCACCACCATCACCCAGACAACGAGGTAAACACAAGGAATTCTGCCCACCAAGGCTGCTGTGTACCCAGAGGGAGAGCTGGGTGCTTAGGAAGCTGGGTCTGGACTGGGGGTGGATGTGGGGGCCGAGTTGAGGGAGGGACACCTGGCCACTGCTGTCATCTACATTCACGTGCCTCCCAAGTCCAGATCTCCAGCTGACCAGAGAACACCTGCCTCTTACAGTAATTCCTCTCCCTGTCTTCGGCCAGAGGTTGGTGGTACAGCGCCTGCTGCCATTGGGAGGCCAGGTGCACACCCAGCCCCGCCCCTAGAACAGGAGGCCCTGCTTCCCAGGGCTTCCCCCTTCCCTCCAGGCTGGGACCAGACATCCCATCCTCCCCACCCCAGCCACCTCTCCAAGGCTCTCTGCACCCTGAACGCTGACCCCCTGTGAGGCAACAGTGTTTGGGAAGCTGAGGGAGATATTGAGCCAGCGCCTGCTTCATCCGGGATCTCTCAAGGCCTGGGAGGGCTGCTGCTCAGAGATGGCCCTCTTCCAGGGAAGAAGGAAGGGAATCTCATGGCCCCTGTCTGTCTGGGGTGTAAGGCAGAGCTCCAGCTCCTTTAAGCACAGAACTAGGACTACAGTGCCCTTGGCCCCATCTCATGTCCCCAGGAAAGGCCTGCTGGAAATCCCATTCCCGTCGTCCACCTCTGAGTCCCAAATCAGTGTGGGCCTTCTCTGGAAGCACCCTCAGTCAAGGAAGTTATGTCCTCCACCATCAGACCAGGTGCCAGTGCTTGCCAGCTACCCAGGAGGCATGGTTCTGGGCTTGGCTCTACACATCCTTACTGCAGGACCCCTGGAAAAGTCATTTCTCCCTTCTGTACCTCAGTATCCTCTTCTGTAAGTGGAGGAGATGTGCTAGATCACAAGTAGTGGAAGGGCTGTCCCTGCCTTCCCATTCACAGAGGCCACCCCACACACCACAGACTCCATAGGCCCTCAGGCCTGCCGCAGTAAGGAGGGGCAGGCACCGTGCTTTCCATGAGGGAGTGGAGGTCCCGGCCTTCCCTTCATGCACTCACCTGGAGAAGTGTCTATACCCGGGAGACAGGCCAGTTCCCCACTGCCACGTCTGCTCCATGATGCTCCCAGCCCAGTCCCCAGATACCCTATTCCACCCTATCTGCTTCCTAGAACCAGGCACATGCCGCCTTGGGAGCAGCTGTCATCCCCTATTCCTACCAGCCCATGTCACCTGGGCCCAGAGCCCTCCAGCCTATCCTGCCAAGAAAATAAGGCTTCCCCAGTCCCCACACCCACATTACCCCCACCTCTGAAGAAATCAGATCCCCCACACTGAACAGCACCTCGGCTGCCACCTCTGCGGGGTTTCCCCTCCATCCCCCTAACCACATCCGCTTTGGGCAGCTCCACCCCCACCTCTGCCCCCCAACCCCACCTGCTGGAGGGGTGTACAAAGGACAATAGCAGAACACTTACCACGCTGGATGGACCAACAGGCCTTGGCCAACCACATTATCCTGTCAGCTGTCAGGGCCCAGGAGAAGGCACCAGGCTGCCTGGGAGGGGCAGGGCCTGGCCTCTGTCCATGGTGGAGGCCTACAGAGGGAGAGTCGATGTGAGTGAAGAGAAACCAGCCAGCAAGCACATTCCCTGGAGACAGCATGGCCAGGACACACAGGAATGGGAGCAGTGGCAGGATCCAGGCCGCAAAAGGGGGACAAGCCATCCCAAGGACCTCCCTGGGTTAGGCATCAGAGCCTGGGGGCCCAAGCCCCAGGCAATCTGCTTCCAGGGGTGTAGGGTGTGGCCAGGAGCTGCTGACAGCATCTGGGGCATTTCAGAGCCATATAAACACATCAGCATCTAGTCCCTCCACCTCATACCCTTCTCTGATGTGCACAAAAGGGCATGTTGCAGGCACAGGAAGGGAGCTATTGTGAGGATAGAGCGGAATACCCCTCTCTCCTTAAGGGCCTCTAGTTTGGCCCCTAAAGCCTCAGAGGCCCCCAAAAGGCAAGGGTTTCACTCAGAGTAGAGTGGATGTGGGATCCCAGACTGTGTGGGTTCAAATCCTAGCTCCACTGCTTATCACCTTGGGCAAATTACATCATCTCTTTGTACCTCATGCTCCTCATCTGTAAAAATGATGACATCTCTAAAATTAACAATCACAGGGTTATCAGCAGGCTTTTAAAACAGTTTTTTTTTTTTTTTTTTTTCTGAGACGGAGTCTTGCTTTGTCGCCCAGGCTGGAGTGCAGTGGCACCATCTTGGCTCACTGAAAGCTCCGCCTCCCGGGTTCACACCATTCTCCTGCCTCAGCCTCTGAGTAGCTGGGACTACAGGCGCCCGCCACCTCGCCCGGCTAATTTTTTGTATTTTTAGTAGAGACGGGGTTTCACCGTATTAGCCAGGATGGTCTCAATCTCCTGACCTCGTGATCCGCCCACCTCGGCCTCCCAAAGTGCTGGGATTACAGGCGTGAGCCACCGCGCCCGGCTAAAAAAAGTTAATGTGTAAAAGACTTAGGACAGTGCTAGATACACATATCTGCTACATATCATTATTAGGAGAAGTTCAATGAGGACACACACATAAAAGCTAGCCACAGACCCTGGTTCCTAGTCCAAGGCACCCTGGGCACCTGGCCTCTCCTTCCAGGGTGGAAGCCAACTATGTGCCTCACCCCACACCCCAGCCTCTTCAGCTCTCCCCTAACCCCATTCAGCTAGGGTACCTTGACCCACATCTCTCCTTCTCTTCCTCCACCCACTCCAGTGCTCTCTCCTCTCGACTACACTCCAGAGTGAGGGCAGGACCAGGCCTTCACTGGCTATTGGACTGCCCTTAAGACCGAGATGAGGTCTGGGAAAAGAGAAGGAGATGATGGGAGCTAGGAGGGACAAAGAGGAGGAGGACCCCAGAGGGTGGGCAATGGGCTTCCTCGTCCTCCTGACCTCTGCCCAAGGTCTACAGGCCAAGGGGAGGACCTCTGGCCCACAGTACCCAGGCTCTCCCCTTACGACATTACCAGCACCCCGCCCTCCCGATCCTGTGGGTATGATGGGGAGCAGGAAAAGGCCACAGGAAAGAAGGAGGGAAGGGAGGGCAGACTGGAACATCTGGAGCACCTTTAACCCTAAACAGAAAGCAAGACGAGGCTTCCAATCTGCCCCAGCCCATGGACTACACCTGCTTTCCAGGATGACAGTGTCATCCTCCCATCCCCCGGAAACTGGTCTATAATTTCCCCCAGCCTTGTCGTTTCTCCCTACCAGCCCACTGCTGAGGAGGAAGGGTAGGGAGGGCCAAATACCACCTACCATAATCAGGCCCAACCTGAGCACCCAGGTCTTCCCCATCTGGTCCTCAGAACAGGGGCCAGAGTCTGGCACTTGGTGGTGCCCACAAATGATTTTAGCATCTTCAAGCAGGTATCTGTTTCCCTGCCTGCTCCAGATCAAAATGCCCCCCTCAATAGTCACACCACAAGCATTTACTGAGGACCCCCTGGAAGCCAGGCAGCGTGCCCCGAACCACAGGAGAGCCAAGAATGAGCACACCAAGATCCCAGAGCCCCAGGATCTGATAAGGGATGAACCAAGGTCAAGGACAATCTGCACTGGGCAGAGGGCAAACCAAAGGCTGAGTGGGCTTGGTGGAGAAAGTGACCCCCCAAAATGGGGTGGACCATCAGGCCAGATTTCAGTCCCCAGTTCCTGCTCCCCACCAACCTCATTTCCCAGCCATTCACTGTGGTCCCGTCACATGGGCCTTCTCTCCCCACTCAGGTCCTCTGCATCCACCGTTCCCTCTGCCCAGAACTGGCTCTTCCTGATCAACCAGGTTTCCATTCCCATGTCACCTCCCTGAACAGCTTGCACCCCCACCCCACCACACTAGCCTGATTTTTATTCATCAGAGGTCTAATGTTCACATCTGTTCACTGGTTTATTACCTGTCTACCCAACCAGAATGTAAGGATGCTGTCCATCTCAATCACTGCAGAATCTGCAGTCTCTCAACTCTGCTCAGCACTGGCAGGTGCTCAGTAAGCGTGCGTAGAAAGGTGGGGGGTGCACATGCCTGCATTGGAGCTGTGCTGGGAGGAAGGTCAGCTAGGTGGGGACAGCATTCCAGCTCAAGAGCTGTCCCTTCCATTTGGGGGCAGATCCAAGAGCCAGAGCATTCTTCCTTATGTTGAATCACATCCCTGACTCTAAAAGTCCCTGGATCCCAGCTGTCCCCTGCACTGGCCCACAGGAAGCCTCATTCTAGTCCTTCCTAGCAAGTATTTTAGTCTTTTCTTAACTAAACTGCCCCTTGCAACAGGACACCGCTGACAGGCCCTCTGCCTGACAGGCCCTGGTGGCCTCCTGAGTACAAGCTCTACATTGGCCAATATTCCTACCCAGAAATGGGAATATTACTACTATTAGCAATAACAACAGCCGCTAATATTTGTTAAACAACATGTGCCAGATACATTAAGCACTTTACATGCATTTTCTCATTTCAGCCTCACAATGCTATGAGGAAGGGATTATTATTACAAACATTTTACCAATGAGGAAACTAAGGCCCAGAAAGAAATGTTAAGCAACTTGCCGAAGATCACACTGCTAGGAATTGGCAAAACTGAGATTAGAACCCAGGGAGCCTAACCAAGGAGTCCAGAATCAGGCATTCTTGCTCCCCCTACCGCCCACTTGGACCTGTGTAGTGGATGGAGGCTTCACACTGCACAGAGCAGTCCCACAGCCTCCGCCCAGGGAGCAGCTCAGAAGCTAAGGGCCTGGGTTCCTGGGCCTTTGAGTCAGGCACAGGGCCTGAACTCCTCAGCTGACTTTCTTAAGTCCAGCAGAGGCCTCAGCACAGGCCTCATCAGTCACATTCACATTGTTAATCTCGGCCCATCCTTCTGACCAGTTGCCTTCAATTAGAATCTTGATTTTATACTGTGCACTTGTCATTCCTCACAGCTCTGCATGACTACAAGGAGTCGGCTGACTTCCTTTTTAAGTCTTTATCCAAGTCACTGATCTTAAACGTTCACTTGGAGTAGGTCTAGGAGCAAGTCTTGTAGCCCCACCACTAGGGCTCCAGGCCAGGCTGACAACAGACCCCAAATCCATCAGCACCCACTGGGCATAACTGTTGTGAAACCGACCTCTGCTCAGCCTGCGTTTTCCCAATGTGCCGCTAATACTAGCCCCACATCCAAATTAACAATTCACTGTAAACCACCTCTGTAGCATTTCCCCTATCCACCAGGTCATCTATCAAAAACGAAGGCATAAAAACGATATGAGCCTGCCAGGCGCGGTGGCTCACGCCTGTAATGTCAGCACTTTGGGAGGCCGAGGCGGGCGGATCACAAGGTCAGCAGTTCGAGACCAGTCTAGCCAATATGGTGAAACCCTGTCTCTACTAAAAATACAAACATTAGCCAGGCGTGGTGGCGGGCGCCTGTAGTCCCAGCTACTGGGGAGGCTGAGGCAGAAGACTCACTTGAACCCGGGAGATGGAGGTTGCAGTGAGCCGAGATCACACCACTGCACTCCAGCCTGGGCAACAGCGCGAGACTTCATTTCAAAAAAAAAAAGGTGGGGGGGTAGGTTGTGGAGGAGAATGAGCCAAGTCAGGGAACTGCGTCCTGTCCTCAACACAGACCACCATGGTAAGGAGGTCTGGAAATACCACGCCCCCACCCCTCCCAATACAAGGAGGGAAGATGTTGCGGCAAAAAAACCCAAAACAACAACAACAAAAAACACGCCTGGAGACACAAGCCCCAAGTCCTAATCCCCAGCTCCGCCTGATTCCACGAGACCCCCAACCTTGGTTTCTTGACTCAGTCCCGTGAAGGGGTTGCATGGCGCAGCATCCGTCCCTCCCGGCTGGGTCTCCTGGTAGACTCCTGGAAGCTCCCGCGCTCCTGGAACCGGTTCCCGCAGCCGGCGGGGAAATGGAAGGAATTTCTCTGGCCTGGCCACCTCCAGCGCCCCTCGTGGGCCAAACCCCACCCTTGGCGGGCTGGGGAGAGAAAGCCTTGGCCGTCGCCCTTGGGGGCTGACTCTGAGCCAGCAAGTTCCGCTGGGAATCCAGTCCCTCCGCCGACTCCCCAGTTTCCAAGCGGGACTCCGGCGTGGCCCTGAGCCCGCCCCAAGGCATCCACCAAAGACCCGAGATTGCCCAGCCTTTCCGGGGCCCACCTCCCGCCACACCGGCGGCCCCTCACCTGGCCCCGCGGGCTCCTCTAGCCTCTCCACTCCTGCTTTCCGGGGTCGCGCACCAGCAGGCCCTGAGCTGCTCTGCCCCGCAGGGGCGCCCATGCCTGGAGGCCGGGGGTCGCGGGCGCCGCGCTGGGACCCCGCCAGTTCCACCGCCGCCGCCTCGCGCTCCTGCAGCCGCGCCGCCGCCGCTCGGCGCCCCCCGCCCCCAGGAAGCCCCCCACCCGCAGTTCCGGCCTCGCCGCGCCCCCCGCCCCCGCGCCCCCGCGCCCGCGGCCGCCCGCGCGCTGTCCCAGCCCCGGCGCGCCTCCCCCGGCGGGCGGGGCGGGGACCGTGACGCGTGCCCATTGACGTCTCCGGAATCCCGGCGGCGGCGGCCGACGCAGCCTCATCAATGGGGCTAAAAATAGCTGCGCCCGGAATAGCCGCGAGCGCCCCGCCCCGCGGCTCCCCCTACGCCGCACACCCGGTTACATAACCCGCGGCCAGAGCCGGGGAGCTGGTTCTCAGGTGAGGGTGCCGAGGCCTCGCTCACACCTCCCGAGGCGGCGCACCTGGGGCTAGGTTATAAATAAACTTACCCGGGGCTTCCCCAGGAAGAGGTGGAAAGAGAGAGGCCCAGAGAGACTCGGTGGCGGCCGAAAGTCACACAGCGATTCGGCTGCTGGCGAAGGCAGGGCCTGGCCTTTTGAGTCTGCGGGCGCCCTGCCTGCATCGCTTGGCATTCATGCCATCCCAAGGGCAAGGAACCCAGGTAGTAGAGTACCCAGCTTCCACACGAGAAGGCAGCTTACAGAAAAATAGGACTTCCTCCTTAAGAGGGCACTGCCCGAGGTGGTGGTGCAGGCCCCGGCAAAGCCCAGATGATGGATTCACTGATCTGGCTGCTCCCATACCACTGTGTGACCTAGGGCAGTCACTTGACCTCTCTGAGCCTCAGCTTCATCATCTCTAAAACAAAGATGATATGATCAGATTATCCACCCTATCTGGCTGTCAGGATGATAACAGCTGTGGAGGTGCCTTGTACACAGTAGACCCTGAGGGTTAGTTCTCCCTGCTCTCCTCAATCCACAGGAGTGTTTAATGCACTCAGAGACCCACCACCGTGGCCAGGAAGCCCTGGAAGGCCCACCCTCCTCTGACCGGAGTCTCCAGGCCCAGGCTTCCACGGTAAGAATCTTCCTGGGGGTGCAGGCACTTGGAAGGTTTCTCTCTCCCATGTGACTGGAGCCCTCTTTGGAAATGGGAGAATCATCCTGTCCTGAGCAAATCCTTCTCCCCCATCAGCTGCCCACTCAGGAGAGGCTGGTCAGGAAGGCCAGCTTAAGGTTGGAGCAACGGTGTTGGGGCTGGCTGGGTGGGTGGGGTTTGGGGTTACCATCTCTGTTCCTATACCTCCATACAGGCAAGGTCATTGGGGAACACCCATTAGGGAGGATCCAGTCATGTGCTCTGCTGTGCCAGCCACTAGTCCCTGCTCCCTTTTGGAGCCACCTTAAATTATGAGCATGCTATACAATCTCCAGCACCCAGGCCAGGCCCCACGCAGCAAAGAATCTCTTCTGTGCTCAAAATTCTCCAAAAGAGGCCCCACACCTCCACTCAGCCCTCATTCCAGGGGCTGCATTCCTCTCTCCACCCCGCTGCCCACCCCCAGAAATCCTTTGCAGGACCAATCCTAAACTCTTAGCGCAACTCGGAATTCCCTTTCTCTCATTCTTCATAATGATCCCAAGAACCTCTGGTTTGTCTCAAAATCACTTCCCAAGAACCTGTACATTTCTCTCCCAGGTTCAAGTATTAGGTCAATTTACAGATAAAGAAACTGAGGCTTCAAAAATGACAAGGTGTCAGGGTGGGGTAAAGGGACAGGCTTTTCCTCACTCACCCTGTGTCCTCTTTCCTACCCCAGCAGTTCCTTTCCGATGGGCTTCTTAGAGGAGCAGCTACCCCACCCCCTCTTTTCCTTTCTTTTTCCAGAAGTCTAACTTTTGAAATACATTTTAAAATATTTGCCTGTGTGGGAGAAATACATTTATTTAGACAGGAAGGGAAAAAAAGGGCTCAGTTACCAGTTTTTCCATGAAGGCTTCCAGCCCACAGAGGTCTCTCCTTTCCATAAATACTTTCAGCATAACTTGTCTTTATTATATATTCTCCTATTTATAATCAAATAAAACATATTCTAAAATGTGGAATGCCAGAACACGCACACTTAGGGTGGCATGTGGAGGCGGCGTGAGATGGTGGAAGAAGCAGTCTCTAGAGGTCTGGGATGGACACTGGTTGTCAGAGGACTGAACAGCTGTGGAGGTGCCTTGTACACAGCAGGCACTCAGAGTTAGTTCTCCTCCCTGCTCTGCCCTAGGAATCTGATTTCCCACAAGAGGCTCTATCTCTTAGCAGCTGTGTGACTTCAGGGAAGTTACTTGCCCTCTCTGGGCTTCAGTTTTCTCACCTCAAACACAAAGATAAGAAACCTATCTCACAGGGTTGCCATGAGAGTGTCTGTTTGATAGCAGACATAAAGCATGAAGTAGAGTCTGGCACATCGTGGCAGATCTACCATTTCCATACAGGAGGACTTGGAGGACTTGGGACCTTGTCTTAAAGCTGTACATCCAAGGTGCTTACCCTAGCTTTGCTCAGCTGGTATGTTTATTGGGAATACTGGGGGTCTTGGGGGTTGCACAGATAGGAGCAATGTCACCTCTTAGTCATTACAAGTGTCCAGTAAACATCAGCCCCATTGTTGTCTCCCTGATCCAGGTCACTTGGCTAATGAGTGGCCCAGCCAGAACCATAGCCCTGGTCTTCTGTCTCCATAGCCCAGGTCTTCTGACTCCCAGGTCAGTGCTCTTTCTACCCAGCCTCTTGTTCCTTCATATCTGATTCCTCTTTTTTCTACAGGCACTGCTTCACAGCCCCTATTGCAGATAGGAAAGGTGAGGAGAGAAAAGGTGAACAACGTGCATGGCCCAGGGTGTCGGAGCAGAGGGGAGACAGGCCCCACGGCCAGTGACACCCCACATTGTGGGAGGTTCCTAGAGGACAAGGTCCTACGCAGAAAGCTGACTCCTAGTCTGATGGGGAGGCAGGACACAAGAATAGGTATGGAAACATTGCCAGGATATCCAAGAAGTGGCCTCCAAGAAGCCTTGAGCTGGCATTGGAGTGGAATCTAGAGGACTAATCTCAGAGGCCTCCCTGGAGGAAGAGAATGTAGGGCCCAGTGTGAAAGAAGAGACAGGACCAGGCAGGGTATAGGGAAAAGGCACTCCATGGAGGACAGAGGCTGCCCCCAAAGCTTAGGTATGCAGCAGGGCAGGGCTGAGATCCTGAGGGTGGGAAGCAATGGGCCAAGGTGAGTCACAGGACACAGGACCATCAGCCAGACTCTCAGTGGCCCTCCCCAGGTGCCCTTCCATCTCACAGCATCTGAAATCCCACCCCACCTAGGAGACACCCTTCCACTCCACCTCCACCCTGGCCCTCTGAGGCAGGGGTAAAAGGATGTCCCTAGGGCATTTAGGCCAAGAAGGGGCTCCCCTGCTCAAGTCCTGGCCCTGAATAAGGAGAGGGGCTATGGAAGGGATTCCCTTCATGGTTTCCTTCCTCTTCTTGAGGATCAAGAACTACCTGGCCGGGGTCCTCCGACCTCTCCCCATGTTTAAGAGCAATTCAGGGGCCAAAAAAATAGACACACAGAAACGTGTTTTCCTGGGGCTGTCTCAGGGTTCAAGGGCTGTCCAGACACCGCCCAGATGGGGTTACACTCTCCAGACTACATAAGGACGAGGAGACCCTACTTTGTGTTTTCGAAGCACTTCCACATTTGCTCTACTTAGTTGCCATGGAAGGCGTCAGGGCCCCAAAAGAAAGTGGCAGAGGTCTCCAGACCGGAAATGGCAGAGCTAGAATTAATGCGAGATTTCCCCTAATCGACGCCAGGGCTCTTAAAAATCCTCTGCAATTTTATTTGTTAAATTACAAAATCAAACATGCTCGTGGTAAACAAATGTGAGCATTTCGACCCTGAGTGATTTACGAAGTGAGAGGCCCGTAATCGCACTCCCAGAGGAGCGAGGATTTGGTCATCCTCCGACGCTGGCTTCCATGTTTCTCTCCGAGTCGCCAGAGATGGGATCTGGCCCGGCGGATCCTCCCTGAGGGGCCCGCGACCGGAACGCCGGGCCGGAAGGAACAGGGCCGAGCCCCCGCTGCACTCCCGTAGGCGGCCGCGCTGCGCTGCGCCAGGCCCGGCTGGGCGGGGTGGGGCCGGGGAAGCCGCTACGTCACTAGCCAGTCCGGAGGGAGCCGCAGCAGGTCCAGCCAGGATTCCATTACCTCACCTGGCAGCGCGGAGCTGCGGCTCGGTCAACACCCCTGCACACCATTGGCTACCATGCCGCCCCTCCGGCCAATAGCACGGGCGCATGCAAATGACCCATTGAGCCGACGCTTCCTTCGGGTCCGTTGTAGGCAAATAGACGTCATTGGAAGGATGGGGAAAATGAGTTAAGAAGGGTCCTGAAATCTGTAGGGTGCTGGTTTGGGGGCTCGCTATCCCAAATCTATTCTAGCCTGTCCTGAGGCAAATGGAATGTAATTAAGGGTGAGCCCCCTTAATTCTTGAGCTGTCTTTCCAGATACACCTCGCTGCTTAGAGATTCAGTGAACCTAAGAAAAGGTGCAAAAACTATTTAGGTCAACTTGGAGAGCAGGGGAAGGAAGAAATAAGAAATAAAGAGGTACGGAAAGCTGGAACATACTTCGGAGAAACACCTAGGCCAGCCCTCTCATTGGAAACACAGCACAGAAGAAAACAGACACAGCTCCTGTCCCCGGGCTGACAGCCAAGTAGGAGAGATGAATGTTCAACAATCTTGCACATAAGTAATAAGTGCCATGGTGTTAGTCAGCGTTCTCCAGAGAAACAGAACCAATAGGATGGATATACAGAGATATAGAAAAAGATTTACGATGAGGCATTGGCTCCCATGATTATGGACGCTGAGAAGTCCCAGGACCTGCCTTCCGCAAGCTGGAGTAGTTCCAGTTCGCGTCTGAAGGTGCAAGAATCAGAGCATGGATATCTTAAGGAGGGAAAATATGATGTCCCACCTCAAAGAAGAGCAAATTCGCCCTTCCTCTGCCTTTTTGTTCTATTCAGGTCCTTAACAGATTAAATTATGCCCGCCCATAGTGGTGAGAGCGATCTTCTTTACTCAGTCTACAGATTCAAATGCTAATCTC